CGTACAGCCATATAACCTAGAATATCAAGGAAGAATAACCCACAATATCTGCCTTGAACTGGGTTATCTTGAGTCCACGCTGCCATATATTCCAGTTCAAAGCAGAACATGTCGGATTTTATTCAGCTGTGTGGAAGGGGGCCTTTGTCAGAGGAGGCTAAAGACCTTGTAGGACTACAACTCCCATTGAGCATTGAGCCCTGGCAGTTTAAGTGGAGTCGGTTACACTGCCTGCAATCTTGCACCCTCAAAGTAGTTTGGCTTGACACTCCTTTTCCCTTCAAGATATTAATTTATGTATTATATTTAACACCAGCAATCTATATAACCACAAAATAATATACATTAAAAATATAGGAGAGGGAACGAAAAAAACAAGGAAAGAAAATATGATTATTCTACCAACACATATCTAATACATAATCTCACCAAAGTTGGTAAAAACCGTAACCACAGCTTAACTACATCATTAGAGTTGGTCTTTCTTGCAATCTCTATGCATTTTTCCAGCCTCCAGAAAATCTTCACCTAGCATACCAGTATCTTTAGAAGCCGCAGTAATTTGTCCATTTGGGTCAACTCTGCAAGTGGAACAATCTATTCTTCCATCATCTGTGCTTCCATCTGTTTGTAAATTTGAGCAAAGCATAATCTTGGTGGTATTGTCATTTACAATCCAAATCTTTAACAATAATACTCAGCAGAAATATTTCTAGTAACATTACAATGTCTAGTTTTAATTTTTGGAATGTTAATGTTCAATCTAAGGCAGTGGTTCTTAACCTGTGGGCCGTGGACCAACAGTGGGCCATGAGGATGAAAATCTGGTCTGTGAGCCTCCTCCCTCTTTATTTATTAATTTTATTTCTGCTTCTTTTGTGCCACCTGCCACTCCTTCCCCGTCGCTGACCATGATATATGTTCTGTATCAGAAACTAGAGCTGATGTGGTCTATCCAGTGTAATTTTCTGAATCAGCACCCCATTCTAAAGTTGTCCAAAAGCTGATTTGTAACCCTTTTGGTACTAATGTTGGCAGGCATGTAGCCGGGGGGAGGGGCCTTGAGGGGCTTCAGCCCCCCCCCCCCCGAAATTCTCATGGTGGTCCGCGAGAAGGCCTTACTGGTACATTATTTAAACTGTTATGTTTATTCATATCATGATCTTATCACCATGCTCAATATATCCCATATGCATGGGGGTATTGGGGTAACGATACAAAAGGTTTGCTAGGGTAGACCCTCTTTCACTCAGACTCAGCCCCCCCCCCCCCGAATCAAACTCAGCTCCCCCCGAATCAAAATCCTGGCTATGGGCCTGAATGTTGGGAAATGGTCCCTGGTCAAATAGTCCCTGGTCAAGTGGTCCCTGGTTAAGTGGCCCCTGGTCAAAGTGGTCCCTGGTCAAAAGGGAACCACTAATCTAAGGTGATGCCAAGATACTTAGGGTGGGAATAGTGTTTTTGTTCTTTGCCTTCGCAGGGATCTTTCAGTTTTCTCTTGGCTTCATGGTTACATAGGTGGAAAGCACACACTTGTATTTTGGCAGGATTAGGCTTTAGGTGGTTATCTTTGTATTAGCTCGAGAGATCATTCAAGGCATTAGTAAGTTGGTTTTCAACTACTACTATTATTAATAATAGATTATAATAATATAATGGGTACTGTTCAATTAATTGAGCGGAGGCCACATGGGGGTGGTAGAGAGAGAAAGGTACTCCATTTTGGAGCGGGGAAAGAGGGGTTTAAGAAGTAAAACAATTTCCCCCTATTTTCCTGTTATTCCCCTATCCATGTTGCTCTCGTGGAAACAACAATAATTTAGGATAAATGGGGGAGGGGGGAGGGAATAACCAGCGAAAATTTGGAAAATAGTTTTCCTTCTTCAGCCCCCCCCCCCCAAATGGACTATCCTTCTCTGATAACAGAACAGTACCATATAATGTTTACCCAATATTGTAAGGTAAAGGTTTTCCCTTGACATTAAGTCTAGTCAATTCCAACTCTGGGAGGTGGTGCTTATCTCCCTTTCTAAGCCGAAGAGCTGGCATTGTTCATAAACGCCTTCTGGGTCATGTGGTCGGCATGACTGCATGGAGCACCGTTACCTTCCTGCCAAAGCAGTACCTATTGATCTACTAACATTTACATGTTTTCAAACTACAGGTTGGTGGAAGCTGGGGCTAACAACGGGAGCTCATCCCATGGATTTGAACTGCCAACCTTCTGGTCAGCAAGTTCTGTAGCTTAGCGGTTTAATCCACTGTGTCAACACAACCCCATCCAATATGGCAACTAGGGTGTGCTAGAGAAAGAAAGTTAATCCATTTTATGCGGGTGGGAGAGGAAAACGATTTCCCTCATTTTAATTGGTTATGCCCCCTTCCTGCTTCCCATATCATAAATGAGGGTTGTTTCCATGACAGGGACATGGGTGGGTGGAATAACAGGAAAACTGAGGGAAATGGGTCCCCCCCCCTTCAATCCTCCCTCTACCCCTATAAAATGCACTAGTCTTCTCTGTTTAGCGCCCCCTTGTGGCCTCTGCCCAGATAATAAGACAGTACCAGCAAGAATATAATATAATAATATAATGTTATAATAATATTATATAATAGGTATATAATAATAACAATATATTATAATATATTATAGTATAATAATAGTGATATTATTAATTTATTATTTCTCCCATCCTCTGGGACCGAACCTTTCAAAACAGGGCTTTCTGTGTCTTTAGCTGCAAACTCAGTACCACAATTCTCTCTATGAAAATTGTCTGCCAGCCTTTTGAAGAGTGGAATTAATGCAGTTCGACACCAATTGAACTGCCACAACTCCATGCAATAGAGTAATGGGATTTGTAGTTTTAAAAGGCCCTCCTCTGCCAAAGAATGCTGAGACCTCACTGAACAACAGCGCCCAGGATTGTAGCTGCCAGCCAAGTAGCGTATTGTGACCTGTAAATAGATTGCCCTCTGATTGCAGTCGAGAAAATAAATATGTCTCTGTTGTGATGTTAGAAAGGTAAATGACTATAATGTTTATGTCCTCATTATTATCTACACCTTGAATAAGTATAAGCAATAACGGGAGGGTTGAGGGTTTATATATGAACTATCTTATACATGTGAAAAACCCACCTTTTGTCACCTGTTTGGTATGAAGGGATCTGAGATCTGAAACAGTGGAAAAGAGGATTTTTTTCTTCATCACACCATGCAAAAGCAACTAGAAGAATGTGACACTGGAAATACATTCCTTTTTGGCCTTAATCAAATTGTTATTCCTAACTAGCGTATACTCATTGAGTCCAGATTACCAAAACAATATAACTATAGTATTACAGTCATGACTTCAGCTTGTTGACTTGTCTAGTTGCCATTGGTTTAATGGATTTACTCCATTTACTCAGACAGCATTCTACTCTGCATTATTGCATATTTCTTTCTAGGTAAGAGTTCATAGGACTTCAGCCTGTGTGTCATGACCTGTCGCCGGTGTTTTGAGCTCCAGACAGAACCTTATAGTGTGTGTGTGTCGATGAGATCTTAGAATAGAAGAATTATGGTATTAAAAGCATTGTATATAGCTTCTTCACAGTCATGTTTGCTATGTGGTTTTGATTTTTGAAGTTTAATTAACTAAAGGAAATGTTATATTGCAATCAGAATACTCCAAATTTCTCCTCAATATAAAGGTTTTCAGTAAATTTTCAGTAAATTATAGTTCAGTTTGTAGAAGTCACAATAGATTTTCTTTTCCTCTCTACTCAACCTTTTATCATCATTACATCTTATGCGACTGTGGTTCCTCAAATAGTGATATTTCTGATCAGCAGTCTAAGAAAGGGATTTGACAGTTTGAAGTCTGGATTAGGGTGAGCTCCAGACCATTAGCCCAGCTTTTGCCTACCTAGCAGTTCCAAAAACAGCAATGTGAGTAGATAAATAGGTACTACTTAAGTGAGGAGGTATTTAAGGCCTCCATAAGGAAATACCAGAAAAATGCTGGTGATTCAATCAAGGAGGAAGTTTACAAACAAAGCTCTTCGGCAGGGAAAGTGGAACAGCAGCGCCCCCCCCTCCAGGTGGCCAGAACTGAGCACAGCCTCCAAGATGCCAAAGATAGGAAACCCAATTTATAATTCTATCTATGTACAGTTGTCTGTGTATAACAAACATTGAATGTTTGCCATATATGTGTTCTGCGATCGGCTCTGTGTCCCCTTTGGGGTGAGAAGGGCGGAATATAAATACTGTAAATAAATAAATAAATAATGACAAAAGATTCCCAAGAGCATATCCAGATGTGTGAGCAGAAATGACAAGTGCAGAAATAATGGGGCTTTTATCAAGCACCTTAGTCAGATGTTGCTGCTTTTGTGTGCCTTCAAGTTGTTTCCAGCCTATGCCAACACTCAGATTTGTTCAGAAGAGATTTGCCATTGCCTTCTTCTGAAGCATAGAGATAGTGACTTGTCCAAAGTCACCCAGTGGGTCCAATGCCAAGTGGGGATTTGAATCCTTGTCTGCAGAGTCATAGTCCAGATATCCCCATCACTTAAACCTTCAAGTAGTTGTTAAGGGAAAAATATTTTTAATCCTGATATTTTTCTGTCTTAAAAATGAAACAAATAGATTTTAAAACTACATTTCAACTTGTAATAGAGATTGCACTATCTCTAGTTGGAATGCTGAGGTAGCGCTGTTATCTTCTGCTATTTTCCTTTGCTTTTTATTTAAGGAGCCAATTTTCTCCATTGTTGGATTTTGCTGCCTTTGTTTTCACTCCAGTGTGTGTAATAAAATGTTAGAAGAAATAAAGCACACAGCAAAATATCATAAAATGGTAGATAAAAAGAAGAGGGTGGGGAAGGGCGGGGAAGCCTAGATCACCAAAACAACATAAATATTAGAGGCATGACTTCAGCTTGTGTAATGTGATGCTCTCTCCAAGATGGGCGTGGAAAAAGGATTGTATAAAGAAACCGAGTGTATCTGCAACACTTATGCATCCCAGAGTGAATGTAGTGGGGAAAGGAATGTAAAGTATGTTTCTTTTCCGGGGATCTTGATACTGTGACAGCCTGTGACTTCTGGACAGAGTTACAAAGCCAGACTGTTTTCCCAAACAACATCAAGAACATTAGTTATTGCAAAACTATGAAAGAACTGATGACAGAAGATTAATTTTAGGAGTATGTTGTATATCTTATTGTTTTTGCTGAACAGCCAAAAATCTACCAAGTTTATTTCCCACAGTGGCTTTCAGTTTAATTCCTTCTGTAATTTTAGTTTGATGCAGTGAAGAATAATATTTTTAAATTCAGTTTTTCTCAAATTAATCTGAGAGTGCTACAACCTCTGCATTCTCACCAAACTGTTTATCAGTGGAAGTGAAGAAAACAAGCAAGATGACAAACTAGCTCTGGAACGGAAGGAACGGAAGGTGTTTTATGACAAGGATGGACTTTGCTTGTTGTGATTCGCGCTACTGAGAAGAATGGTTATCTGGAAGAAACAGATTTCCTGAAACTTCAAAGTGGATTTCTCGTCTTCATACTGGTTTCTTTAAAAAGAAAAAGAGGTAATCAGTCCCATGGCTGATATGAAACTTCGGGAACTAGGATCCTCCAGACTCTACCAGCGCCGACAGGATCGTCTGAGTGGCACAGTTGCATTATTCAGTGATGGGAAAGAGAGGGCAGCTGGGATATTTGGGTAGGTTATGTGAATACCTCTTGTAAATTAATGGTCTCATTTTGCTGGAATGTTTCTTTTTACTTCCTTTAGATCAGGAAGTAAGGAAAACTGGACAAGCTGAAACTACCAGATTTGAATTTCCAGTCTTTGTTTGAAGAAAAGTGTTTCTTTGGCTCTGATATTATCAGTTCTAAACAATCACAGGAAAGCAAATACAAAAACCTTCACCCACTTAATGATGCTGAACTAGCAGTGTATAACCAAAAGCTAGCAATTCCATAAATCACAATTGCCTTTTTATAGTGTTTGAAAGTTAATAAACTTCTAGAAGAAATAGCTTCTTCATCTCAAGTCACTTGGTTTCTTTTTAATAGCTTTCTAAGTTGCTGTTTTCTTTCTTCTTTTGGTTCAGCATTTATAGAATGACAATGCTGTTATATTCAGCATTGATTTACACAGGATGAGTAGGACATGATTTTAAGCAGAGCAATGTTTTCCTGTTTCTGCAATCTGGGAGATACTGCTCTCATGAAAGCTCAGTGTTCTTTAGCATTCTTAGAAACAGCTGTAACTTTCCTTGTCCCTTTCGAAATGTTATCTTGTTACTATGGTCGCATTAAACCTGCACATAATCCTTATACGTCAGATTTTCCTTTGTGATGAGCCATTTAAAATTGTTTCTCAAATAGCATTTAGTCATGTCATGTTGTAATTGCTGATTAACTCTTATAGGTTCCTTCCACACAACTGAATAAAATCCCACATCTGCTTTAAACAGGAATATATGGCAATGTGGACTCAGATAACCCCGTTCAAAGCAGTTAATGTGAGATTTTCTGTCTTGATATTCTGGGTTATATGGTTGTGTGGGAGGGCCTATGGTTTTAAAAAGGAGCTTGGAGTGTTGTATATGGGGGCTATTTGAAAAGCCCTTTTAATGGCAAACCTTCTTTTTTAGGTACAAAGTTGCATTGGTTTACACACACTATTAGCCATTGCACTAAAGCAGGGGTGACCAAAGTACAGTCCTAAGGTTATGTGTGACCTTCCAAATCTGTTTTTGTGGCCTTTGACTTCTGTTTCCTGGACCAACAAGGAAGCTGGCTCTCCTTGAAGCATCTAGGAAGGGCTGTTCATATTTTAAATAGATGGGGGGTAGGGGGCTTCACTGCATAGCATCAAGAATAACCACTTCTCAGAACTAGGAGTGTACAGGCTCCCTCAAGTTTTGAGACAGAAAATCCACTCCTGTGTCCATAACAGTTGTTCACCACTATATTAAAATATGTACAAAACAAGTCACAAGTCTAATGTAGATTCAGTGTGGGGTACGTATTTAAGAAACAAAAGCAAAGAGGATACTTTCTTTACTCTGATTGCTGTGCTTGACAAGTAAATTCAGCAGGTGCGGTTTATCACACAATGAGGAGGAAAGCTGTAGTTGTCAGAATCTTCTCTTCTGAATTAGAAGTGTGTGCATCCCGTCCTTTGAATCCGACCATCTAAACCAGTGTTTCTCAATCTTCCTAATGCTGCAATCCCTTAATACAGTTCCTCGTGTTGTGGTGATCCCCAACCATTACATTATTTTTGTTGCTGCTTCCTAACTGTGGTTTTTCTACTGTTATGAATCATAATGTAAATACCTGATATGCAGGATGTATTTTCATTCACTGGACCAAATTTGGTATAAATACCCGATACGCACAAATTTACATACTGGTGGGGTTGGTGGGGATTAATTTTGTCATTTGGAAGTTGTTGTTGGGATTTATAGTTCACCTACACACAAAGAGCATTCTGAACTCCACCAACGATAGAATTGAACCAAACTTGGCACACAGAACTCCCATAACCAAGAGAAAGGTTTGGTGGGCATTGACCTTGAGTTTTTGAGTTGTGGTTCACCTACATCCAGAAAGCACTGTGGACTCAAACAATGATGGATCTGGACCAAACTCGGCATGGATATTCAGTATGCCCAAATGTGAACACTGGTGGAGTTTGAGGGAAATAGACCTTGATATTTGGAAGTTGTAGTTGCTGGGATTTATAATTCTACAATCAAAGAGCATTCTGAACCCCGTCAATGATAGAATTGACCCAAACTTCCCACACAAGAACCCCCATTACCAACAGAAAATACTGTGTTTTCTGATGGTCTTTGATGACCCCTCTGACACCCCCTTGCTACCCCCCAGGGGTCCCGACCCCCAGGTTGAAAAATGCTGATCTAAACGATCTTTTGTAAGAATATTTCAGATTTAAAATCTCTCATATCATTATAAGAATTTTAAAAACAGGTTGATCAAAATGGCATTAATTCTACTTTGGTATAAGTTATTGTATTTCTTTCAGATATGTTGTTCTAAAACAAATAAAAATCACAAATATTTCATGCGTTGGCATATTTTTGTTCCTAACAGTTCAGAGAGATAACTAGGTATATAAGTCTAACTGATTAGAAACCTAAATTGCCTTGCATGAATACTTGTAGATATTATTTACCATTAAGGAGAAGATTGATTTAAGCAAATTTTTAACTCTTCTAAGGAAATCTTACTTTACAAAAGGCTTATTGTCTCCAACAAGATAATGCCTTTCCCAAAAGGTTATGATTATTCCAAATAGTGTGAATACCAGTTAATCTTCAAAAGGCTTATACTTCCAAAATTCCTTGGAGATTCTTGGTTTTCCAAATAGGGAAATGTTTTTTTAATCTTTTGAAATTAAACAATGCCTTCGCAAATCCTTCTATCTAAAAATCCAAATTTCCCTAAAACTGTGGCTCAAAGTGGCCGACAGACTCATGATTCCACCACGTAGACCACAAGCTTACCATTTGTTTGGTTTTTTTGCCAGATATATTTTGTGGATTTTCTGTGGCATGTGTTTTGAAAGGCATCTCGCCAAATTAAGCACATCATAGATCACATCCTAGAATCTTCTACAATGTTCAGAAATATGTTGGCAGATAAATCCATCTGGTTCCCCTAAGGAAGGAAATTTGGGGAACTGTGTTACAGAGGACAATATTCTAGGAAACACGGTCTCTCTCTGGAATAAAGAGAGAATCGTTGGGCAGGAAATAACTTTTGAATAGAGCATAAGAACTAAAGTGTCCTCTACAATGACAGGAAAGAAAGAGAAGTGATCTCAAGTTGCAAAGGTCAAACTATTTTGTTGGGAAACAGAACCAAGTATTTGAGTAGAGTTGTGAATATCTGAGATACTATGATTTCTAAACAAAGGGTTATATTAAACATAATATCTTCTGATAAATTGACCCCAGAAGCATATTTATATGACGCATAAAACCCACTTAATTCTCAGACTTATTTATATATATTCAAGTGGAACCGAGAGACAGCTGAGAATTAGTATTGGGGTAGAACAAGCCAGTGGGGCCAAGGGCAAATTTTCTACACAGTGACTGCTAAAAAAAATCCCCACATACTAAAAGTGTCTGAAAATCTAATTTTCATTTTTAAAACTTGGTATTTTTCATGTTACACAATGCAGGAGTGAGAGCAATGAGACTTTTTTTTTTTGCCCTTCCCCTTCCCTTTGTCAAAAAAGTACCCTCTTTTTAAAAGGCAAAAACAAATTTCCAGGATCTATACACTAATCAATCTGATCTCCAGGAAATGTTAGATAAAGGGATCTGTCTGAAAGTATTTTGGTGGCATTGCAATAACATGAGGTAACACAATTTTTAAAAAATGTTCATGGTTTGAAAGTGTTTTTCCTGTTTAATTGTGCAGTACTTACTTTGAAAGTAGTTATACTTCAGAAACTTAGTTTTTGTGGCTGCTTCATACTATGTTGAATTGACTGATACTTTCTGAAATTATAGTTGAAAAACTATAGCAAAATGTGTTGTATGATGTCCCCGCAAAAACAAGGTTTTTGCAGTTTAATAAACTTTTTCCATGTTTTTATAATAGAGCCACTTAGGAAATGACATTTATAACCCATGAACAAGAATTGCACTACATAGTGCAATCAGTAGGAGCCAGCATGGGTTTGTCAATAACAAATCAAGCCAAATTATTATTATTTATATTTTTTTTTCAATCAGATCAATAGTTTAGTAGATGGTGGGAATACTGTGGATGTTATTTATGTATTTATTCAAAGCTGAACAGTCCCAAATATTATAGCTTTTCCTCACTGACAAATTGCTCTACTTGCATGGTCATTTTGGTCAACCATTCTAACATTCTCTGTACAGTACTCTGATAGGATTGTTTGGGAAGGGGAACTTTTTTGAAATGTGAGTTATGAAAGCATATTGTTGATTTGGTTTTAAATATAATAAACCTTCTAACATTTGACATTTTAGCCCAAGTGCGTGGGAGGATGGGTGGGATGAATGCATGAATTTGAGATCAGCATAACTAGAATCCAGAAATGTTTTCAAGGTCAAAAGGAATGGAGAACAAAAGCATGGCCCTGCCGAGAAACAGAACATTTGTGTCAGGGTGAGAGTCTTAATTTCTCTTTCTTAAAGTCCATCACTAGTCTTTCATTTCTTGCATAAACATTCCTTTGGTTTTTCATCCTACAAATTATATCTGTCTTATGACATTCTTAGTCTCTTATTATACCCTAGTTCATGATTTACAACTTATACTATCCGATTCCCCTGTTCCTGGTTACGGTTGGCCATGTTTTATGACAGTTCTCACCATAGGTTATTGGGCACTGCTTTGAGTTTAAATCATTATTTTATATGCTAGTGGTTTTATCTTTTATTGTATTGTGTGTTTATTTTATGCATTGTTCTAGGCACATAGTGCCTTATGTAAGCTGCCCCGAGTCTCTTCGGGGAGATGGAGGCGGAGTACAAAAATAAAGTTATTATTATTATTTTGCTGACACAAAAACACAATATGACACAGCAAATGAGATATATATACTGGATTTTGTATCACAAAATCACAAGTCAAACACTTCCCAAGCGTTTAGGACTGGGTGATGTATTTTCAAATGATGTGCACAGATCCAAGTAATGTGGCCTTTTGCAGTTGACAGATCATGATTTTGTCAATGTTTATTGTTTTCAAATGCTGGCTGTACTGGTTTATGCCAGAGCCTTTGCAGTTTGATTTTGAGGTCTTGATAATGGCTGAGTTTTTCCTGTTATATTATTATTATTATTATTATTATTATTATTATTATTATTATTATCTGTACTTATTTCTGTCTAGTTTTGCAGTTCTTTCTACAGAAGGCTTTGCTCTTTAATATTAGTGTGTGTGAAGTAAGTTGAACAAATTCCCTAAGAGACAGGAGACATACCCACTTATCTATTGGTTGAGGGCTAGTAAGCATTTATGAAGCCACTGACTATAAATCTTTAGATATGACTACTCCAATGTGACAAAATATGCCTTCATAAGCACCCAATTGTTGTTATTGTGATTTAGATGACATTGATGGCTCCACTTTAGATTATGACACTGACTGTGACTTGACTCTTGCTCTGCTTTGTTCCCCAGTAATATGACAGATGCCCTGGCGAATGCTGTTTGTGAACGCTGTCGGGCTCGTTTTGACCCCACGGAGAGAATTGTGAACAGCAATGGGGAGCTGTATCATGAAAGCTGCTTTGTCTGTGCTCAGTGCTTCCGCCAGTTTCCAGATGGACTCTTTTATGATGTGAGATTTCCTTACTTTTGTCTCTTTGGAGCCTAAGATTGTATCAGATGTCTTTGCAGTTCTTAATATCTGCATCCTCATTTATCCTCTTTGCTTTTGTAAAAAACTGTAAAATGATCCAACTTCTACAGGACACTTAAGAAAAAAGTTCTGGTTCAAAAATACAGTTAAATTACAAGGCATCCTTTAGAGCAGTTGCAAGAACACTGAAGACTTTTGAACCAGTTTTTAATTAACAGTATAACTTTATGTGCAAACCCTGAATTATTAATTTTAACAGTTGGTGAAACAACTCCTAAAACATTTTTGCAGTTGTTTCAATAAGCCACATTTAAGCGTAACAATGGTTTGCCCAGTTTGGAAAATAAGAGCAAAATAAAGTTAATTTTTTAAAAATTGCCATCTTTTTACAGATTTACCAGAGGAGGGGAGACAGTGATATGATGAGTTGAAAGCCCATTTACTCAAAACCAAACTGTAGTTTATATCTGAATAGGTACAATAATAACCGTAAAGAAGCCCTTTGTAGATACTGAAAGCCATGTCAGATCTTTGACATTTTCCTTGATATTGATTTCATAGAAACACTGTAAAATAGATTCTCGTGTAGGCACCATGCATTTTTAAAGACCTTTAGCATGAGCACATGAGCCAATACAGGCAAGCAGTATTGGTGGTACTCCTAATTCAGAAAAATAAATATTATTGCTAAAACATGGCTCCATATTATGGCATGTTATCTGTACAGTCTTCCTTCATGACTTTGCGGTTCGCTTTTAGCAGATGTGCTGTTTTGCGGTTTTTCAATAAATATTAATTTAAAATATATATCGCAGTATTTTCGCTGTTTTGCGGGTTTTTGCTGCTGGCGCTCTCCAAGGCGCTTTTCCTCCTCAGTCCTCCCTCCCTCCAGCCATGAACGGCCTTTCCTTCCTTTCTTTCACTCTCTCTCTCTTCACCCGGCGAAGGGAAAGGCGAGGAGGACATGCTTCCTTTCCTTCCTTCCTTCGCAGTCACTGCAGACAGAGAGGTGGGTGGAGGGAGCCATGGGGGGGGGGGGGGGGAGGAGGAGGAAGAGGAGGAGGAGTACTTGGTAAAACAGAAACAGGGTTTATTTTGAGTTTATAAAGACTTTAAAAAGTGTATAACTACTAAAATAATGTATAAATATTAAAGTAATATTAAACTAAATATAGTGTCCCTACTTGCAGATTTTCACTTATTGTGGGTGATCCTGAAATGAAACACCCGCGATAAGTGAGGTAACACTGTATTTGCTTCTTATCTTCCTTATGTGCCAGTTCTTCCAAAGTTGGGGGAATAATTATGATGATATCAATAATATAAAATGTCTCTAACAGCTGCAGTGATAGAAATATTGTTTTAAAGTTAGACCTGTAGAAATTGAGAAACAGTGGTTTAAAACTTCTGTGTATTCCCAATAACCCTGCATACTATGTCTAAAGTTATGTGTTTCATAATATATCTCCCTGTGTATCTTCCAGTTTGAAGGAAGAAAGTATTGTGAGCATGATTTCCAGATGTTATTTGCACCATGCTGTGGCGAATGTGGTAAGTAGTCGAAGTAGACATACCAATCCTTACATTTGGGTGGGGTACAAAAATTAAAGAATTATTGATTATTTCCTTTCCTTTCCAAGAACACTGACATAAAACATAAAAACAGTATACAAGGTAAAGGTTTCCCCTGACATTAAGTGTAGTCATGTCTGATTCTGGGGGGTGGGGGTGGGGGTGGTCCATCTCAGTTTTTAAGCTGAAAAGTCAGCATTGTCTGTAGATACCTCCAAGGTCATGTGGCCAGCATGATTGCATGGAGAACCATTACATTCCTGCCAAGGCAGTACCTATTGCTCTACCCACATTTGCATGTTCTTGAACTGCTAGGTTGGCAAAAGCTGGGTCTAACAGCAGGAGCTCACGCCTCTCCCCAGATTTGAACCACCAACCTCTTGGTCAGCAAATTCAGCAGCTCAGTGGTTTAACCCATTGCACCACAAGGGGGCCTAGAAACAATCTAGCACTAATTAAAATCAGTCATCAACATTGAGATTCTAAACCATATGTTCCTGAAATTCAGAATCTACCCATTGAATCTGTAATGGACATTATTATGGAAAATGGTGAATTTGGGTCTGACTGTTATCTTGAGCCTTGGCATCATTCATACATTGTTCAGATTCTAACCTGTAAAATAAGGATAGTGTCACCAATCACATGATTGGTTTTATTTGATCTTAAACAAGATCAATATAAATAATTACATAAATAATATATTAACCATAGAATTCTTAGGAGATAATGATGGAAACAGAGATAGTATTTTGAATTAAACTAATCTGTGGTATTTCTCTTCCCAGGTGAGTTCATCATTGGCCGAGTTATCAAGGCAATGAACAATAACTGGCACCCAGAATGCTTTCGCTGTGAGCTCTGTGATGTGGCTCTTGCTGATTTGGGCTTTGTGAAGAATGCTGGCAGGTAAGAACGGACAGAAGAACAGACAGAGGGCAAGACTATTCCAGACAGGCCCTATATCCCAGAATCTGATCCCAGGTTTTCTGTTTATCCCAGATTATCTGGCAGTGTGGACTCTTATATTTCAGTTTAAAGTGAAAAATCTGGGATCAGATCATGGGATATAGGGCCTGTCTGGACGGGACCTATGAAAGAATTTTGGGGGCAATAACAGTTTAATTGTTATTTGGACTAGAACATTGTTGAGATAGAGGGACTGTTTCACTCTGTGGCTGCAGACATTCCAAGATAGAATCAGTAGTTACTAGTTAGGCATGACAAATTAGACTATTTATCTTCCCAAAACTTAAGAATTTATTATTATTATTTGGGAAAACTAATTTGTTCCATCCCGTTTCTGTAAACTCCAAAAACATGTGCTTCTCTAAATATATTTTTCCAATATATATTTTTGGATAATTTTAGGACAAAGGGAAATTATACACAAATGTACTCATTTCACCTAAGGTAGGAATTTATCTCTGGTGTTTGTGTGTATACTTCTCTGATGTAGTTTTGTAAGCATTTCTCTTAGTGTATAGATTTTATACAAAATGTCTCCATTTCATCTGAGAAATAGATTCAAAAATTCAGGGGAGTGCAAAACGTATAGCATAATATCAATCCCACATTACATCAAGGAGTGCAGATTAGATTGGTCCATATTAAATTTGAACCAAAATAATGCCTCCACTTCTTAGGGCCATGGATGCATGTATGGGTAGAATGACTCTTTTGGAGTATAGATCATGCTGATGGACAGAAAAAAATTGCTTAGTAATAAGACAAGGGACTTTTACTCTCTTATGCATTTAATGTATACTATGTTAGAAAAGAAAGCAAAATACAAATAATAGGAAATAATAATATGGAGAATGTCACACAGAAAAAGATTTTCAGCGAATCACTGTAACAACATTCAGAACTGAACTTTTGGGTCCCTAGCATTCAAGACTGGCCAATGAATGTGTATATACATTGTGATTGTTCATTGGTGGCCTTGACCTATGCCAGCACTAGCAATGAAAGACTTCCAAAACACTCTGCCATCAATAATCCTGGTCAAGCACTGGAAACTTGGGACTGTGGCTTCCTTGAGCAAATCTATCTACTTGTAATATGGTCTTTCTCTTTTTCTACTACTACACTCTTTATCAGGCATTATCTGACATAATTAATTAAGGGAGTTACAAATATATAGTCTGACATGTTCATATTCACAATTCCTGCATGTTCACTAGTTTAGGAAACTAGGAAACTGTGGGACCATGAAAGTCCCCAGTTTTCATTTACTGGGCAGCAGCTGGTGCAAGCAACAGTGGTCTGTTCACCTGTCAATTGAGAAGCAGCTGGCTGACATTTCCACCCTACCCACCCTCTGTGAGTGGTCCCTGAAGCAAAGAGGAATTGGCACAAGAAGCCAGCTGACTGTTGCACCAGAGATCGTTCACTAGTGGGGGTGGAAACATCAGACAGTGCCTTCCCAATTGACAGGATAACAGACTCCTGTCATTCCCAGTGACTCCCAGTAAGTGAGGATGGGCAGGCGGGTGTTTTACTGGGAAATACTACGTAGCTATGAAACTGAAGTAATTATATAGCTAAGTTGAAGATACAGAATTGGAACTATCATATCTTTTAATTAATTATGTCATATCATGATACGGTCAAAGTAAAATAGACTCAGTTTGGCCATTCTGGATTTTAGGAAATGTTCAGGTTGGATTTGCGCTAGGACCCATTGGTTGGTCATTTGGTTCCCATGATATCCACAGAATTTTCAAGTGCCACATTTCAAAGAAGTTGGTTCTCTGTTATCTTATTTCACTGCCCAGCTTCCTTGCCCAAATAACATGGATTATCTTATAGTACGAGTCCTCTTCAACAGCCTGCTTATGATTTTCATGTAACCTTCATGAAGTGAGTAGTAGCAATATGATTTAAAAGAAGATGAATTAATGGCTGGTGTCCCTGATATAATAGTTGGGAAATATGTTGATCAAGGTAATATGCATTGTAAAAAAGCAGTCAAAATTCTATAGCTAACATCCAAACTCCACATGAATCCACAGTGTGACCCCTAGGCAGGTATTATTGAAAACATGACTTCTGAATAACTAATTTATTGTGCAGAATGCAAGTGCTTGTGATCAGAGATGTAAACGATACCATACAAAATTATAGCAAAAACCTGATGAACCAAAATTGCAGTAATATTACATTGCCACAGAGTCAGAAGTACTAGTGTAATTTTTGGAACTGAAAATATTTGACTTGTTCAGATGGATAGGGTAAGTTCAGTCTGAATAAGAACAACTTGGTCAAAGCTGTTAAATTGAATTAGATTTGTGATTTGTAGAAAATTCTTTACAAAAGTTTGAATTGCCTGTGAATATGAGACGGATACAAGGGAGATTCATTAAACATGTATACATATAAACATTTAAACATAAAATAAAATGAGTTGTAGTAAATAATTGTTCGAAATGTGTTGTTAAAATGGTATTATCAGCCCATGTTGTAACAAAAAAAGTGATTTAAAAAGTATGGTGATATTTTATACCAATATTGTACCTAGGAATAAAGTCAGACAATTGCTTCTGGTGTAACATGAACCAAATTTTCTTCCTTTGTTGAAGCTGACGTGATGGAGGCTCTGAAGAGTTCCTTTTCTTATTTTTGTCACAGCAAAATCCATGATCTTTTCAAAGCTCAGACTGCAGATTTGCTTACCTTTCTCAATTTCCTCATATTTGAACAACCGGAGTGTTAGTTGGCAGGAAAATCCTTCCATAATGCACCGAATAAGAGTGGAGGAAAAAGCATGCACATATAATTACTATCAAATCTTAACTATACAGTCTATTTGTTTAAAACAATATATGATATGCTTCACTGCAGATTTTTTTGACAACACTGACTTTTTAGAGCTTTCTTCCTCAAACTCCAGTAGTTCAGTTATTTGTGTTAATCTCAGGCAGCAGAAGTACAACATCTCAGGCAGCAGAAGTACAACAAGCACATATTTGAATGCTAGTTATATCTGTATACTAATTTCTGGAAATTAGTACTTGCCAGTGATATATATGCATAAATTTCTTATGATATGACATTCAGGTTAGGGTGAGATGCAGCTCCCTCTCATGGAGAGGAATTGTGATGCAGGGTGTTATGACTTTCAAAAGCCCTGGATATAACCACAAAAACCTCTATGGGTGTAAACCTACGGCCAGCCGTATTTCTACTAGTTGTATGCCATACAACCCTAGATTAGTGGTTCTCAACCTGTGGGTCCCTAGATGTTTTGACCTTCAACTTCCAGAAATCCTAACAGCTTTTTAACTGGGGATTTCTGGGAGTTGTAGGCCAAAACACCTTGGGAGCCATAGGTTGAGAACAACTGCCCTAGATAGAGAATGGCTTGGCTTAGGTGGCCCTAAAGCCCCTTCTTTCTTTTCTAAACCCCAGAATCTGCCCCTCAGTTATGGGAATTTATAACAGAGCAGTGGGTTAAAAGAAAATAAGGAAGACCAGAACAAAGAGGAAAGGAGGACACTTTCTGCCCTAGCAGAGCCAGAAATGTTTTGCGTGTGGCGTCCAGCACAATATTTCCTTCACCTCATTAAAATTGTTTCAAATATTGTCTTAAATGTGAAATGTGATAAGAGTTTATAATCTTGGAGACACACTGATCTGCTTTAATTGTGTTAGATAGAAAAGTCCTTTTTTTAAAAAAAAACAACAACAAAACAGTTGTTTTCATCTTTTCACAGTTCAGATTTAGCACTTAAGGAGCTATCATTTGTTTTCCCATCATAACTTGATGGTAGCCTTGCTGACCTTTTGCTGCAAAACAAGCCACACAAGGCCTCTCTGAACTTTTCAGCGACGAAGAAATACATGACAGGATCCAAGGCACCATTTAGGCTGGTGAGACAGGAAGTGATGCGATTGCCAAGAGCCAGAATCCGCTGCATTTCACAGGAGGTCTTCATGCCATCATAATTGAGGATATAAATGTAGCGGTTGATGTGATAAGGCACAAAGCAAACCAAGAAGATCATAAGAACCATGACGATCATTTTGATGGCTCTTTCCTTTAGATGATTCTCAATTCGGTTCCCCTTCTTCAGGCTTCGTATAATCAATAAGTAGCAAGTCACCGTAGTAACAAACGGAAGGGTGAATGCCACAGCCAGGGACACTAGAGCATGGCGTGAAGCTTTTTCTCTGTAGAGCTGCAAGCAGATCGTGGTATTGTTCATCTCAGCTGTCTGAACGCTTAACAAAAGAGGTGCCATTGCCACGGCCACTATGACCCACAAGAAAGCACAGGCCAAATGGGCATAGAGTGACCTGCGGAGTTTGAGGGACTTTACAGGGTGCACAATAGCGAGGAAGCGGTCTATGCTGATGCACATGAGGAAGTAAATGCTGGCGTACATGTTGAGGTAGAAAAGGAAGCCTGTGAGCCGGCATGGGATCTCTCCAAACGGCCAGTGGTTGCCTGAAAAGTGGTATACCAGCCGAGTTGGTAATACTAGTACAAAACACAGGTCGGCGACAGCAAGATGCATCAGAAAAATGTTGGCTGGAGTGTCTGACTTCTGGTCCCGGATGAAAAGCCATAGAGCCAGAGCATTGCCAACGAAAGCTAAGATGAAATCCAGAAGGTAGAAAATAGCAAAAAGGATGTTCTCCATGTGAGTCTCCTTGCCACATTGCTCTGATTTTTCCAGGGAAGTGTTGAAGAGAAAACCTGGAAAGTCTGCTTGGCTGTTCATTCCTCACTGTCAGTCTTGGAATATGAGCCTGAAATAATAAAAGAAAAAAACCCAAAGAGTAATTTTATTATGCTAACTGGATAATATGTTTTTTGCTTAATTTTTAATGAACACCTAAAGTGGTATTCTCCACACAAAGGTAGGCTTTCCTCCCTTCTTACAACATCTCTGATAGTTTCCCTATAGGCTACCTTATAATTTGAAACACTGCTAAAAATTGTCATACTAGTGAAAGGGAAGGCCACCAAAACCGAAATGTGTTGAATATTTTACAGAGCAGTAGACCATGTCTGTTCCCCCTTTCCCAACTGTTCTAATTGTAGTAGTATCAAGATCTTTAGTATCTTGTAAGTAGCGTGTAGCATTTCTTCTTAACCCCACTGTTACAGTAGAAAAGAACCATGCCTGTATCATTTCTCACACATTGTTATGGCTTCAGAAGCAGTTTGGACACATCTTTGAATTTAAAAGGTGCATAATGAATGGATGTCAATTTCCAAATCATTTTGGGATACATCTGCTATTATCCTGCATCATTCACTATGCTGAAAAGAGGGATTCCTCAACATCTGTCAGGCCACATTTTTTTCCCTACTCCTATTTTGTAAAGAGAGTTGCTAACAAACTCCTGTTGTTTATTATATTTATATTTATTTATATCCCACTTCATCTCTCCCCAAGGAGATACAAAATTTCTGTGTTCTCAAATAATATTTGAATGCAAGAATACGAAAGGCACTGCAGAGTAATTCAACCAGAGAAGTCAGCTATAGCAGATCACATGATAAACCAACCTGGACACAATTATTTGAAAACACAGAAATTCTGGACCACCCTGGAGGAAACCATGAAAATGAATAAAATCAGGTTACCAATATTAAAAAAACACCAGAATCAAGACAGTAAATTATGAACACCACTCAGAAACAAGAGTGCTCCAGACAATAAGCAATCAAAAGCCGGCTAACATCTCCTAAACAGAGAGTGCCCTCTAGGCAACAAGGCCAGGCTACCTCTATGTAGATACCCTCACTGATTGACTTTGCAAACTTCATGGCTACTCAAATTCAATTCAAGCTTACTAATTACAACATTCACACTTACTAATTACAACATTCGCTTAAACAGACAAGGGTTCTTTTTCTCACCCTGGACATTCCACAGATATATATACACTTCACTTGCCTCACTGCCAGCAGAACCTCTGAATATGCCAGCCACATATGCAAGCAAAATGTTAGGAGGGAATGCTACTGGAACATGGCCATGCAGCCCGAAAAACCACAGCAACCCAATAATTCTGGCTGTGAAAGCCTTTGAAATACATTTGATGCATAAATTAATGACCTAGTATCTTCCATTAAGATAAAGTCTGGACTTCAGTAATATAATCAGCTATTTCCTTTTTCATAATGTAATGTCCACAGTTCTTGATTTAAGCAACCATAAATTGGATTCTTCTTCTTATAAGATTACATTGTTAACTGTGCTGATAGTAATCTCCTAGGTACTGCTATATACAACATAAAGGTAGAACGTATGTATTGTAAATAAATGTGATATAATATAAAAATGAATGCTTCTTCATGTTGGATATTATACAAAATAGGGAAATGTGCTAAGTACAATGAAAAGCACATGTTGGAGTTTGCAACTGTCAGAGCCTGAATCATATTGATTGTCTTGATTAGAATAGACCCGTTGAATCAGTGAATTTACATGTGTTGATTCACCATTCAGTCACTGATTCAATGGGTTTACTGTAGTTCACACTACAAATAGAGTACAACCCTGTATGGAGAACATAAGGTGTTGTAGAATTAGACTTCATTTTAAGTATAGTTATTACATCATGTGAACTTTGAACGTAGTGGAACTTTGGATCATACATGCTTTGTATTGAACTATTGAGCCATACAGTGCCTGGTACAAAAACAACCTCAGGTTGATGCAGGGAATTCTGGGATAAGGACTAGTAACAGTTCTCATTTTGAGAATGTAAAAGCCAGTGCTATTCGACACTAATTGGAACACATTCTAGCACTAATTGGAACACAGAGATCCTTTTCAATAGTATGAAGTGTCCTTCTACCATCTGACCACAGAGTGGTTCCTCCATACAGCATTTTTGAAAAGCGAGAAGATGAGGAATATCATCCCCAAGCCCCATGAACTTGCCCCATTTTGCACATGCATTATTATGGGCTTGATTTGGCAGTCTCTGTTATGCTGTTCCTCCAAGGTTCTTATAATTTAGTTAATGGAATTATAATATAATTCATTACTCCTGATAACCTTTGAGGATAAGAGCACTCTTACTGTTGCCTCAAATATTTGCAATGGAAAAAGTGTGCATGGTACAGTTAAAAGTCACTTACAGGAATCCTGCTGAACAATAATACACTGTAATGTAAGGGATAAGTATGAATTTCTTTATAAACCTATTAGGGGTTTACATAAGATGCCCCATTGCTTGTCTTAATGAGTACAAAAAAGAATAGTGAAATGGTATTACATATCTGTTGCTGCTGTCTTAATGTATGTAGCACCCGTGAGGAACTGGTCAGCGTTTTCCTGCCAGCTTCCACAGAATAAGCTTGTCAGTAGTGTAAAGAAAACTCTATCATAGTGTGTGATTCACATGTTGAAGTTTTATTTTATTGGATGCAATTTTAAGCAKCCTCTGTCTTGAGAGCTATTTAATGCCAGTTAATCTTAGCAATAAGATTTATTTTTTTTTAAAAAAAAGGCATTTACTCTAGTACAGTGGTTCTCAACCTTCCTAATGCCACAACACCTTAATACAGTTCCTCATGTTGTGGTGACCCCAACCATAAAATTATTTTTGTTGCTACTTCATAACTGTAATTTTGCTACTGTTATGAATCATAATGTAAATATCTGATATGCAAGATGCGTTTTCATTCACTGGACCAAATTTGGCACAAATACCCGATACGCCCAAATGTGAATACTAGTGGGATGGGGGGGGGGGGTTGATTTTGTATTTGGGCATTGTAGTTGCTTTGATTTATAGTTCAACTACAATCAAAGAGCATTCTGAACTCCACCAACAATGGAATGGACCAAACTAGGCACACAGAACTCTCATGACTAACAGAAAATACTGGAAAGGTTTGGTGGGCATTGACTTTGAGTTTTGGAGTTGTAGTTCACTTACATCCAGAAAGCACTGTGAACTCAAACAATGCTGGATCTGGACCTAACTTGACATGAACTTCTGATATGCCCAAATGTGAACACTGGTGGAATTTGGGGAGAAATAGACCTTGACATTTGAGAGTTGTAGTTGCTGGGATTGATAGTTCACCTACAATCAAAGAGCCCCTTGAGCCCCACCAACAATAGAATTGGACCAAATTTCCCACACATAACCCCCATGACCAACTGAAAATACTATGTTTTCCGATGGTTTTTGGATGCCCCTCTGGCACCCCCTCGTGACCCCCCAGGGGTCCCGATCCCCAGGTTGCTCTAGTACAATTCACTGAAATGTTTGCATGGTATTCTACTGGTCTTTCCATTACCACAACATAATGACACTTTTCTAGAACAAACTTTTAAAATTATTCTCTTTCTATTGATATTAGGTATATGGGATCTTAGGCATTTGGAAATGATTTATTAAATATTAAATTGTGTTGTTGCAAAAGCTCAGAATTAATAAGAAGGCACCTCCTCCTGCATTTTATTACAACTATGCTGCTAGATGTAGTACCTGTTGCTATAAAAGTGTGACCATGCTGTATTCAATTAGCAGCTATCCACAGTACTGTAGTGGCAAGAGATGTATGAAATGAAGCTTTGGACACACATCTTCTTGAACGTTGTGCTCTTCATTAAAACTCCTTTTCTTCCTACTTACAATATACAATATTCTGGATAGTTCTGGGTTTCACGAGGTCTTGATGTCAACAGGAGCAATCTATTACTTTCAACAGGCTTACATTTCTTTTTCTTTATTCTCATGCCTTGAATTCACGTAGGTTCATTGAATGAACTTGAAAAGGATATCATGGATTGTTGGGGTTTTTTAAAAGAGTTTTTACACTTAGACCATTTTCACATACAATGCTAAAAGTGTATGTTAGCACCATCTGTACTACATGTAACATGCATAGAAGTTGTTCATGTATGATAGAATGCAGAAGAAAAATAGAAATTATTGAACATACTATTTGCTTTGCAGAAAACAATTTAAATACAAATTTTGTATGTGAAAATGCCCTCATACGGTGCACAGATTACCCACTGTACTTTCCCATCACCCAAACTCTTAAACCTACATCCCCAGGAAATTATTTGTTGTTCTAAGGGAGAATATGCTAAGTTTTCTAGTGCAAAACTTTTCCTAGGTTAGTCTCTAAGTTGAAACCAATGGTCTTACCTCTTGCAGCTTCAGATCCGTTCAAGGTGAGAGGTTAAAAAAGTGTTGCAGTGGCTGAAAGAGAGCAAAGCTGAAAACTGTGTGATCTGGAAGGCACAGACAGTGGCAAACACGGTGGAAGGGAGAAGCTGCTCTATATAGAGCCCTGTTAGTGATGATAATCCATTATCATCTTGTCCGCATAAGAGGAGGGTAGATAACACACTTGTTGTGAAAGACAATTTTCATTCCAGCTGAGTTCTTGGAAGAGGGAGCTGTTATTGCATTTATGAATATTCCAGTGTTAGTCCTGCTCATGAAACTCTCTTTCTCTCTCCCCCTCCCTCCCTCCCGCTCTGCCTTTTACACTGATTCTTTGGAGCCCTCTGACTGTCTTGGAGGGCTTGGAGAGAGTTGTGGAGAGGGAGGGGACATTTGGTACTACAGACACAACAGGACATTTCAGGGGGGGATAATTCCATACTAGTGGGAATGGGGGTGAGAAGGATGGCTGCCATAGAAACGGCTCTGTGATCCGAAGGCCTCCCTTTGCTTGCAGTGGAGGAAGGGTCTGTAGGATGGTAGAGGGGGGGGGGGCTCCCAAATGAGCCAGGGTGATAATGGTTTGTCAGTGGGAAGGGCTGAAGGCCCCTTCTTTAGTTGAATGAGAAGGGTCTCTTTTCAGGACACAGGCTATAGGGTCTCAGTGTCCTGCCCTGTATAATTAGACTCCATTCCACAGTGTGGAATAAAACTGATTCCTTTATCCTGAGAGAAACACAGCTGCGTCCCCCCATTTATAAAGACTTGCTGTCTGCTTTCCTTCTAGGGACTGTGACTCTTGTCTGGGATGGCAGTATCTCCAGCTCTAGGGTAGAACAGAGAAGAACAACTTGTGAAGAGGGATTGTTACTAACATTCCTTTCTACTTATGCTCACTGGGACTTTCTGTTTGGGACTCATAAAACTAAAATGCTACACAAGGGCCTTCTAGTATTGAGATTTATTATTAGCTTAATTTCCCTTATGAAGTCCCTAGAGGCTGAATGACCTGTCTTGATCTCATGGGAAGCCCACAGAACTGCCTAACTTAGATCCCAGGTGTCCCAGCTACTTTTCAATCAAAGTTTGTTCAGAAATTCATCTGTTTCACATTGTTTGTATTCATAAAGGTACATTCATAATTTGCTTCTCCAAAAAAAGCCAATGGGATTTTGGGCTGCATAAATAGGAGTATGGTGTCCAGATCCAGGGAAGTCATTCTACCCCTCTATTCTGCCTTGGTCAGACCACACCTGGAATACTGTGTCCATTTCTGGGCACTGCAATTGAAGGGAGATGTTGACAAGCTGGAATGTGTCCAGAGAAGGGAGACGAAAATGATCAAGGATCAAGGGTCTGGAGAACAAGCCCTATGAGGATTGGCTTAAAGAGCTGGGCATGTTTTGCCTGCAGAAGAGAAGGCTGAGAGGAGACATGATGGCCATGTATAAATATGTGAAGGGAAGTCATAGGGAGGAGGGAGCAAGCTTGTTTTCTGCTGCCCTGCAGACTAGGACGTGGAACAATGGCTTCAAACTACAGCAGTGGTTCCCAACTTGTTTTTGACCAGGGACCACTTGACCAAGGACCACTCTCCAACATTAGTACCATTAGTTATGAATCAGTTTTGGTCAACTTTGGATTCGGTTTGGTTATATGGGGTGCTGAATCAGAAAATTGCATTGGATATATCACATCAACTTTAGTTTCTGATACAGAACATATGCCATCCAGTAGTTGCCATCTACTTGGCCACAGAAAACCATATTTAATAATAGAGCTGATGTGGTCTATTCAATGAAAGAGGATGGTGAGTAGAGCAACGGTGCTGGCCTCATTCCTTCTCTCCCGCTCCTTCTCTCTCTCCCTCTCCTCCAACAGTGCCCCCCCCCCCAGCCACAAACATTATTTTAGATCTTGCGGCCCACCTGTGGGCCGCAGCCCATGGTTTGGGAGCCACTGAACTACAGGAAAAGAGATTCCACCTGAACATTATGAAGGACCTCCTGACTGTGAGAGCTGTCCTGCAGTGGAACTCTGCCCCAGAGTGTGGTCGAAGCTCCTTCTTTGGAGGCTTTTAAACAGAGGCTGGACGGCCATCGGTTGGGGGTGCTTGGAATGTAATTTTCTTCCTTCTTGGCAGGGGGTTGGACTGAATGTCCCACAGCATCTCTTCCAACTCTATGATTCTATGATTCAATTATTTCTTTCACCTTTTCTAAACTATGGACATCAAAATTGTACTTAGAAATCTAGAATAGATGTGCTGATATTTTTCTTACTGAAAAATGAAATTCAGCTTTATTCTTGCCAGTTTAGCATTAGTCAGTGCCCTTCATGCCAGAGCAAACATTATTTACCACTAACAGCCATTTTTTGCAAGTCAGCATTCATATTTTCCTGGCAAGGATAGTTGCAAAGCAGCCAACCATGTGTAGATTATTTCTGTCATTGCTCAGAAAGATGCCACTCAACATTTGTCTTCCTCTCTAACTGCCCTCTAGGCACCTCTGCAGACCTTGCCACAATCGTGAGAAAGCAAAAGGCCTGGGCAAATATATTTGCCAGAAATGCCACTTGATAATTGATGAGCAACCTCTGATGTTCAGGAATGACTCTTATCATCCGGATCACTTCAGCTGCACTCACTGTGGGTATGTTAACCATCTTCTACGTAGTCCTGAGGAGCAAGTGCAAATACACGGAAAGGGTTATTCTGTGAATTCTTCAAAGATCTTCATAATAAACTTTGCTGACACTAAGCAGACTGACAAGTAAGTTTGGTTTGTGTGCAGTCTAAAAGCATCTGACCTGGAAAATTGAGGGAAGTGCTGCAATTGTGTTGAGCTGTTTCAGATCTCCACTAACATGGTGAATTGTTCAAATGGAATTATCCTTGCTGGACATGAATAGTTTTTGAAGAATCAGTTGTGAAAGCTTTCAGGTTTGATGGATATTGTAGTTTACAGTCATATAAAATTACTACTCTGTCTGGCTTATCTAACAAGCTTGAAACTAGATTCTTGAAATCAAAGTGACAATTATAAGGTAGGATTTGTAAACTTTGTGTCACGATTATGATATTAATAATGAAATGTAGGAGGTGAAGGGGAGTGGGATATAGGTGTTTAATTTTTTAAAATAACTTCTCTTTGCTCCTATTTGGCTGGAGTTCAGAATCCAACTACTTCCACTAAATAAAGTGGAGGTTAGCATATGTTACTTGGGACAAGTTTTGTTGTAATTCCTTGTGTTACGTGCAGGAAAGAGCTGACTGCTGAAGCCAGAGAGTTAAAGGGGGAGCTCTATTGCCTGCCATGCCATGACAAGATGGGAATCCCAATTTGTGGGGCCTGCCGTCGACCCATTGAGGGCCGCGTGGTTAATGCTCTGGGAAAACAGTGGCATGTGGAGGTGAGAACTTCCCTTTCTCGTTTGCTGTGTAATTCATGTTTCAGAATGGCTGTAGATGCATACTGTTCATGTTTCCAGTTTATTTGAAAGTAATATTGCAGTTCTTTTAAAACAATAGCAGTCTTAATTTTTTCAGATGGCTGAAAAGTTATTATCTGTATTTATTTAGATCTACATTGCCCTTCAAGTTTTGGTAGAAAGCCAATACTACACGAAAATGCTTTTTGTTTGGAGACAATAAGATCCCACCAAAGTTGACAATGCTTTTTTTCATGAATATGTATGTAATGTGCACAATTCAGAAAAATGACAAATATTCCCAAGGAAATAGACTCCACAAACAGGGATAGTCACAGTGAATCTTTCTGTTTTTGTGCTAAATAGACACAATACAGGTACACAAACATTAATTTTAGTTATATGCTTATATGCTTATTCTATGTGCAAAAGGAATGTTGTAGCACCTTATTAACTAACTGAGATAAATACATTGGTTTCATAAGCTTTTTGATTAAATCTATTGCATGGATAATGTTGACAATAGTATGATGTGATTCACATTTGTTAGTTACAGCTATCCTCTCACAAATTCTTATAGGGAAACTGTATGTGTGAATAGTCATCAAAATGCAAAATTTGTGAGCTTGGTGATAAGGTGACATGTTTTAGGGATGGTCACTAGGGGACAAAGGCAGGAGGAAAGATGTTGCCTTAAGTCAGAGTGAGTAAATAAATATGAATGGTGGAGGGAGTTGTTGGGATGTAGCATGATGCTGGCTGGGAAACAGTAAGGAGATGTGATGAAGTGGCCAAGACAGCCCTCATGAGATTGGGTGTTAACTAGTATTATACTATGTAGTATGTGCCAGGAAACCATTGTCTTTATTGGACCCAAACTAACACAGCTGTGTTTATTTTGTGTTATATAGATAATAAGTTCTTTTTTGGGAGGTTGTTTCAAGATGTATTTTGCTTTTACAGTTATAAACAGCTCTGAAAAAGTTGAAAGGCAACCAGAACACAGTATATTACATTGGAGCATTGGTGTAATGTATCCCAGTGACTAATCTCTATTAGGAAATAAACTTTATTGGAATATAAACAACCAATCATATAAATTCCTTCATGCTATGTTCAGTAGGGGGCCCCCAGTGGCACAGCAGATTAAACTGCTGAGCTGCTGAACTTGCTGATCAAAAGGTTGGCAGTTCGAATCCAGGGAGCCAGGTGAGCTCCCGCTGTTAGGCCCAGCTTCTGCTAACTTAGCAGTTTGAAAACATGCAAGTGTGAGTAGATCAATAAATTCCACTTCTGCAGGAAGATAATGGCGCTCCATGCAGTCATACTGGCCACATGATCTTGAAGGTGTCTATGGACAATGCAGGCTCGTCTGCTGGGAAATGGAGATGAGCGCCACCCCCCAGAGTTGGACACAACAGATTTAATGTCAGGGGAAACCTTTACTTATGTTCAGCACTTAAAGGTAATGTTGCCATAATGTAATGTGCTTCACATTTGTTGGCTATCCCCACACAAACACTACAGAAGAACAAAGGTCTGAGACTGTAACCCAGGTGATGCTCATATAAGGCTGCAACCGCAATGACTGAACAAAATTCTGAAAAAATAACAATGAATGTGTATAAATAGACTCACAATTCACTTTTGATGTATTTAATTTTAATTCTACTGCTGAATCTGAAAACTGAATTCAATTGGGATTCTTCAGTGCATTGTCACCATTTTTCCTTGGATACTTCTTTGCTGTAAGACAAGAGAATGCATTGTTATAGCAACACTGCTAGTAGCATAGCATTAAAAATAATTCAAATGTTACCAGTGGTGTAACATAGAAAAGTGTTCATGAGCACAACATCTTCCATGTTTTTTGGATCATAACACAAGCCAACAAGTATTTTTCATCAGATATAATTGTAAGTAATTCTTATAGAGTTTTTTTGCGCTGAATTCAGATCTGTGTTTATTTTTTCGCTTTCACATGTAGTTTTTGCAATGAGGCTAATCGAATAATTAATGCATTTACGCACTGATACCAATAGAATCTAATTGATATCAGTGCATAAATACATTAATTATTCAATTAGCCTCATCACAAAAACCACACGTGACAGAGAAAAAATAAGCACAGATCTGAATTCAGCACAAAAAAAAACTCAATAAGGATTACCTATGTGTTACACAAATATGATGTGAAATGTGCACACTTTACAGTAATCCACTGTAACGTACCATTTGTCATATTTTTTAAAAATGATGTGATGGAAAAAAATAAAGACATGTTATTATTATTATTGTTATTATTATTATTATTACTTTATTTGTACCCTGCTAGCATCTCCCGAAGGACTCGATGCGGCTTACATAGGCCAAGGCCTCAAAACACAATACAACAAAACAATACCTAAAGCAAATTAAAAACAGTTAAGCAGTATGAACAACAAACAATAAACAATACATCAAGACACTATAAAACTGGGCCGGGCCAGAGTAATGGGTACAAGGTTAAAAGTGCTGATGTGGCAGGAGGTATATAGGATTATAAGTAAGTGCAGAGTGCAGCAATCTTAGTTCTACTAAAGTGCTTCTAGGACTTAGTATTGGAGATTCCTAATCTGAGAAGGCACATCGGAATAGCCAGGTCTTCAAGTTCTTTCTGAAGACTGCCAATGTAGGGGCCTCTCTGAGATCTTTTGGGAGGGCATTCCAGAGTCAGGGGGCCGCCACAGAAAAGGCCCTGTCTCGAGTCCCCACCAAGCCCGCTTGCGATGCAGGCGGGATCACGAGCAGGGCCTCTCCAGATGACCGAAGTGAACGCGTGCGTTCATAGACGGAGATGCGGTCACGCAAGTAGGGTGGTCCCAAACCGTTCAGGGCTTTGTAGGTAAGCACCTGCACCTTAAATTGGGCTCGGAAAATAAACGGCAGCCAGTGGAGCTCCTTGAACAGGAGGGTTGACCTCTCTCTGTAATGAGCCCCGGTTAACATCCTGGCTGCTGCCCATTGGACCAGTTGGAATCTCCGAGCCATTTTCAAGGGCAGCCCTACGTAGAGCGCATTGCAGTAATCCAATCTAGAGGTGACCAAGGCATGGACCACCCCAGCCAGATCAGCCTTCGCGAGGTACGGTCGCAGCTGGCGCACTAGTCTCAATTGTGCAAAAGCCCTCTCGGACACCGCCGACGTCTGAGCCTCAAGCGACATATTTGAAATCAGCATAAAAATTTATATAAACTGTGCCACTCTCATTTCTGATGATTACAAAAAGTGATTTTGTTGGCTTGTGTAATTGATTACACTTTCTTCTTTGTGAACATCAATATTTGTACAAGAATGCTCGTAGAATGCTGTCCCACTTGACAAATTCATAGATTTGAAAACTATACTTTACTACTAGTTTGAACTAGCTCCTCTCCTAATAAAAAATCATATTTGACCTAATATGTTCTTTTAACTTTACAGCATTTTGTTTGTGCCAAATGTGAGAAGCCTTTTCTGGGGCATCGGCACTATGAGAAAAAGGGCCTGGCTTACTGTGAGACTCATTACAACCAGGTAATGTCTGATGTCCTTTGTAACATGTAGTTTGCTTCCTGACAAAGAATAGCCAATGAAATTTTATCTTCAGATGATGAAGTAAGACATGTATTATTGGTCTGGACTTTAAAAGTTTCAAATATAGAAAACACAAACTATAGGAATCTACAGAAGAATAGATACAGGCTTAGGATAATGTGGATACCAAGTGGTATAGAAATGCAAATGAACATGCTTTGAATAACCTTAGCTATAAATAACAGTTCTTAAGTTTTGAGTTGAATGGAGAGAAGAAGGAGTCTTTGCCAAGACTTTCCTAGCCGAAACTGGAGTGTAGTGGTGGGGGTGTTATGCATGTTGTTCTCTTGTCTGGTGCAAGATGCCTCTTCAAGAAGTGTGGCTTCTTCTTCACTGTGGACTGTTTGCATATTTCCAAAGAAAAGAAATCTCTCAAACCCAGCATAATTTTCTAATGTTTTCTCATCTATAGAAAACTAACTTTTAAAAAGTTTGGAACTTGTAGCAGTACATACATAATGTAGGCCAGTTTAGTGTGTGTTTCACTGTGTATTTGAGATTCATTTCTGTATCATCATTTACTAGAATACCAGGTCCATAAGGGGCTGTGGTGGCAAAGCAGGTTGAACTGCTAAGCTGTAGAACTTGCTGACTATAAGGTTGGTGGTTCGAACACATGGAACAGGGTGAGCTCCCGCTGTTAGCCCCAGCTTCTGCCTACCTAGCAGTTCAAAAAACATGCAAATGTGAGTAGATCAGTAGGTACCACTTCAGTGGGAAGGTAGCAGTGCTCCATGTAGTTATGCTGGCCACATGACTTTGGAGGTGTCTATGGACAATGCCGGCTCTTCGGCTTAGAAATGGAAATGAGCACCACCACACAACTAGACTTAATGTCAGGGGAAACCCTTACCTTTAGGTCCATAAAGTTTTTATGGGAAGGCTGAGTTTCTTCGTGCAGGAAGTGCACCATTGCCTCTTCTCCATTCTTTTCAGGGCAAGGACCATTCCTACCAGCCCTCACCTCATTTTGTGAAACTTTTAGTTGAGAAATGTACAAGAACTCACTGTAAATACCTGTGAATTCAGGCTGTTAGAAGTTTGATTGTGTAACAAAAGTAGAAGTTAGACATTAGAATATGACACGAATACCAACTCACAAAACTATATAATGAAATGACTACAAAACTAAACAAAAACTCAGGAGAAAATAGAAATTTCAATATCTTTATGAAAGGGAATAGGAGATTAAGAAATCTATTTCAACTGTTGAGTTGGTCATAGTAGAAAACAAAAGTGTGGCAAAATAAAATCATCTCTCTGTTAGCATATGCTTTCCAAAATATGGACTGTGATTCTAGTAGATCATCAGCCTTACCATGCTCATGCTTGTAGTGAATAAAAGGGAGTCATGTTTCCCAAAGGGCAACTTAAGTTCAGGGTTGACATTTTCTTTTTCTCCTAGACTCTTTACCATTATAAGGAATATATGCCAGGTTTTGGATCTCTTTGTTTCCTCCCATAGAAATCATTGGGATGCATTCACTTTTATGAGATAATGTAAAAACTTATCCTATTTTAGTGATGTTGCTGTATCCTATGTTAGACCTTGAGCAAGCTCAGATATGCATCCTGTATGTTCATAAGTTATACTACCAAGAATTAATAAGTGAAGGGGCATGTGGCAGCTACCTAGTTAGATATTTGCCAGCAAATTATTTCATGTGTTGTTCCATAAAATGGCTTAAATTTCTGTCAGGCGAGCAAGATTCAGACTAGAAACCAAAACTGAAGGCAACAGCTAAGAACAGAATGGTCCTTCAACATCCTGATGATATAATGCTTTTTTCAACCATTAATTTCTGAGAAAACATATTAATATTATAAAAAAAAGAAGTCTTTGGGCATTTTTCCCTACACATTTCCTGTAGATATAAACAGATCCACAACAAAGAAAAACCAATATAGGTAGAGCATCCCTTATCTGAAATTCCAAATTACAAAATACTTGAAAATCTGAAATTGTCCACATGGATTGTTGAGATAGTGACACCTTTGCTTTCTGATGGTGCAAGAAGCACAAACTTTGTTTCATGCCCAAAATTATTACAAATATTATATAAAATGGACCCCCCCCCCAGTGGTGCAGCAGGTTAAACCGCTGAGCTGCTGAACTTACTAACCAAAAGGTCAGTAGTTCGAATCCAGGGAGCAGGGTGAGCTCCCTCTGTAAGGCCCAGCTTCTGCTAACCTAGCAGTTCAAAAGCATGCAAATGTGAGCTCAATAGGTACCTTTGGCGGGAAGGTGACGGTACTCCATGCATTCATGCCAGCCACATGACCTTTGAGGTGTCTATGGACAACACTGGCTCTGTGGATTAGAAATGGAGAGGAGCACCACCCCCAGAGTTGGACACAACTAGACTTAAAATCAAGGGGAAACCTTTACCTTTACCTTTTATTACATGAAATTACCTTTAGGCTATGGGTATAACATGTATATGAAACACAAATGATTTTCTTCTGTAAGGTTGAGAACCATCTCTAAGATGTACATATATAAAAATACATTCCAAAATCTGGAAAAAATCTAAAATTAAAAACATTTCTGCTCTCAAGCATTTTGGGATACTCAACTTGTATTGTTGAACCTAAACCTCCCACACATTATAAAGATATAATGTCACACAGATGCAGTTGCTTTCACGGGTCAGTATTTTTGAGAAATTAAGAATGTAAGTTTGATTCTTGTACAAATGTCTGATTTAGAAAAGGATGTGTTTGCCATGTCTTTCATTGGTCCCCCCCCCCCTTTCTTTTCTACACAGCTCTTTGGAGATGTCTGTTATAACTGCAGCCACGTGATTGAAGGGGATGGTAAGTGTGAGGCTGTTTGTCTGTGCAGCTGTTGTATGTACAAGGCATCAGTTGATGCTTTTCACATCTGTCTTTGCTGAATTTGACACAAGCCTGATAATCCCCTCCTGTGATATTTTTCACCAGTGGTATCTGCTCTCAACAAGGCTTGGTGTGTGAACTGCTTCTCCTGCTCTACCTGCAATATCAAGCTCACTCTGAAGTAAGTAGCCAACAGAGACTCTCCTAATGGGAAATTAATATGATCCAGAGAGTTAATACAGAAATGATGGCCATCTGGCATTGGGGTTAGAGTAATAACTGAGCAAGGGGAGGACATCCATAAGAAGAAAAGGAGGCATATGAAGCAGGGGTGGATGGAAGGACAATTCACCCTTATTTAACTCCCACCTGAAAAATTATCCTGTGCACAAATACACATGTAACATTTATTTCTTTTAAAAAAACAAAAAAACCTTAAACCACTGCTTCCAGAAGTATAATGTTTTTAAATTATGCGATTTTGTACAACAGAAAGATCATTTTTGCACAAAGCTACAACATGCTTTGCTGGAATTACCCTAACTGAGGGTTATTTTTGAGTCTAACAGCTCAGATTCCCCAACACTCATCCGTAATGGATTGCTCCTTGTGCCATCCCAAGAGTATAAACTAGCAAATGCACCTTACCTACTTGCCTGTTAAAACCTTGTTTGACTTTCTGCACAGAATGTAATAGCTCTCTCTTTCTTTGAAAGGAACAAGTTTGTGGAATTTGACATGAAGCCAGTGTGCAAGAAATGCTATGAGAAGTTCCCTCTGGAGCTGAAGAAACGGCTGAAGAAGCTTTCTGAGTTAGCTTCCAAGAAAACTCATCCCAAAGCTCTTGATTTAAACTCTGCTTAAGCACGTTTGCCTCCTCACTGCACACGTTTTTGCCAAATACAGTCTGACTTAGCCACTCATTACTTGAGATTTCTTCAGCCGGCCTAAGACAAAACAAAAGCTCACCAATTGTATCTTACACCCTGAATGTTTTTCTGCTCAGGTCTAATGCGTAGGGCCAGGCTTCCAGAAGAAAGCTGTGGTTATACATGCTAGTGCACTACTTTCCCTTTGTATTAACTTGGTTCTCATGATTTTAAAAAAACTTCCTTTGCTATGATTTGGAATATTTTGCATTTATTCGTCTATGTTTCATAACCAAAATTAAGCTGCGTTAGCCACAAGTGGAAAGCTTGAGTGAAAATGACTTGCTTAATCCTTCTTAAAGCACAAAATCAGCTCAATATCACACTTATGCCAAAGATAAAGAACTGAAAAATGATTGAAGCAAGAAAAATAAGTAACTTTTTGCTGTCCACCATTTTTTGTGCTGACTTGCACCTTTTTTTTTAACCAAAGGGGCAAATGTAAAACTGTCCAGGACTAATGTAGTGGGATTCATGTACATTAAATTTAAGAGAAACCTAGTATTTTCCTCTTCAGGTTCACAAACATGTAGGAGAAAAGAAGAGTAGGTTTAGCTTAAATACAATGAACAGTTGTAGCACCCGTGGGTACTGAGAAGTAATTACAGCATTGTAGCTCTTACTATAGAAAGTTAAGGACAGCCAACTAATAGAGGCAGTATAGGCAGTTTACATTTATGTGGTATATTACTTCAGAATAGTATAATGTAACATCTGAGTTCAGACCTTATGGCTGAATTGTACTTACTGGAAGAAGCTGTCCTCATTGCCTGCATTTACTTACATTCAGAGATGAAGGCAAAGTTCTAAGCATTTAAGCTTTCTCCCCACCTCCCTTAATATTGGCATCAGTGTAGACAAGCTATTGTAAATTTTCCAGCATCTACACCTGCTTCTAGGTGTAATCTACAAAACATTGCAGCTTTACTATTCACATTCATTTCACCATTTGTTATGATATAATCCTGTGGCAATGCTGGACCAGCAAATAAATTATCCCCAAGTTGTATTTTCCAATTAACGTGGGAGTAAAAAGTGTGTAACGAATTAACATCACTATACCCTCCCCCCAGGCTAATCTCATCTCCTTCCTTTCTTATTCCTGAACTAGAGCTCAGGATGCAGAGCAGGCATGAGCAAACTTGGGCCCTCCAGGTGTTTTGGACTTCAACTCCCAGAAATCTCAACCAGCTTACCACCTGTTAAGAATTGTGGGAGTTGAAGTCCAAAATACCCGGAGGGACAAAGTTTGCCCATGTCTGGTGTTGAGGAAGTGTGTGTCTGGAGGATTTGTAGACTTTTGAGTCAGAGGAAGAGCAGGCACGAAAATCTAAAGTACTACCACCAGCCAGTTATTTACCACATTCCACCCTCGGTGCTAGTAATAAGAGGCAAAGTTTTGGGGACCCTGTGCTGGTATCCTGAATCACTATTCCAGCATGAATAATACTGATTTCATCAAATCACACAATTGTTTTTGTATTCCTTCCAATGGGAAAGTGGTGTAGAACCTATTTGTGGCTGTTGCTTTTAGTATAGAGCAGAAAAAAAAACATGAATTCATTTTTATACAGCAATTGTGTATACAAGAGATTAATCTTTTTCATAGCTAATACGGCAATATTGTTCCTTATTGGCTACTTCCTACTTATCAGCACTTAATGTTGGTTTCTGCCTTTAACAGCACAAAAGGATGGTTCTCTAGAACCATCCTTCACCAATAAATATTGTTTCACAAGTAAAAGCACATAATTCGCTATAACGTGTAATATTTGTTTCTTCCAAATACATAATGTGTTTTTGAAAGAGGATTTGGACTTGCTTGGAAACCATTTTCCTTTCATGATTTCTTGGAAATGTAAACAGCAAATAGTTTTTTAAGGGCTAGATGTTCCTAGGAAATTAGATCAATAGAACTAAGCATATCAGAGGGTTCTTAGGTGGAAATGTTTATGCCCTATGGGAAAATGTCTCCATTAATGGCTTAAATGAATGTTGGTGCTGTGGGAATGGAAGAGCGAGCATTGATATAGTGATGGATATAATAAAATTGCTGGCTAGTTGTGCATTGAAGGAGTGAAAAGTGTAGCTTTCTTGAAGCTTGTTTGCTTGATGTTAATGGCACAAAGGCAACTGCAGATCAGGGACTCTTGGTTGTAAACAAGCACAAAAAATAGTATGTGAAAAATGGAAGGATTTTTAGTTGGTCCGGTTTAGCTTAAAAACAATTTTGAGATCAAAAAAGTTATAGGATTGCTCACCTCTGCATGAGAAGTGGCATTTGCTGTTGAAAGCAATTGCAGTCTCAAAATTACAGGGACATGCAAATTGTGTTTATATGGGGTTCAAATATGAATTGCACTGCTTTGCACTGAATATGATGTTGCTTGCTTGCAATATACTGTTATATAGCTGCGCTTTTTGTATTAATATATTTTACACATATGAACATCACACAGGCTCATGGATCATTCCTGAAGATAGCAAATACTTTTAGGTAGGATATTATCAACATTAAACGAATAGTAACATTTTCAATATAATTATAGTCTTTGTTTCGTAATAAGAAGGATGATGGAGTTGTCAAATATTTTGCAAGACTGTCTTCAACAGAAAGTTACCATATTTATCAATATAGACCTGGTAGCATACTGGGAATAACAGCACAACCCTTTGCCTGACTACTCAAAAACAAATCTTACTAAGTTATTCCCAGGTGTATCAAGTGTCAATAGTACAGCCCTAGACATCTCTAGAGTTCAGTAGGATTTATTCTTAGTTAAGTGGGTATATGGGTAACGCAACAGGTTAAACCACTGAGCTGCTGAACTTGCTGACCGTAAGGTTGGCCATTAGAATCCAGGGAGTGAGGTGAGCTCTCAGTGTTACGCCCAGCTTCTGCCAAACTAGCAGTTTGAAAACATGCAAATGTAAGTAGATCAATAGGTATCACTTCTGAGGGAAGGTAGTGTCACTCCATGCAGTTATGCTGGCCACATGACGATGGAGGTGTCTATGGACAACGCTGGCTCTTCAGCTTCGAAATAGAGATGAGCATCACACACACACCCCTCAGAGTTGGGCACGACTAGACTTAATGTCAGGGGAAACCTTTACTTTTACCTTACCTTTAAGTGGGTATAGGGTTGCAACCTTTAGTGGTACATCAAAATGCTTCCCGGTGAGAATAAAACCACTGTAATGTATACAAGCTTGTTCATTTTTGTACAATCAGTCCTTCAAGACCTACATAGTTGCTGAGCAGTACTTTGCTGTGGGATCTTAGCACAATAACTCCACATACAAAAAGGGCAAAGCCTTCTCAATTTAAATACTGTATTTCTCCATTTTACTTTATATTTTTGGAATGATTGTTCACTTTTGCATAATAAATCTTCACTTATGGAAAATTATGCATATGTTGTGCTGTTTTCTATCAGAATTTGTTTCATGTCTATCAACACCAGCTATTGAAGTAATTACTCTGGAGGTGTATGTAATCATAGCACAATTTAGTTAGTTCTAATGTCAGATTTTAAATCCAAAATTGCTTCTAAATTATTGTGAGATTTTTTTCTTCAACTTTATAGCAATAATATTCATTTGAAGCAGATTGAACAATATAAACTATTTAACTCAAGGTGTTATTAGTTTGGAGCTCTGGTGGCAAAGCGGGTTAAACCGCTGAGCTGCTGAACTTGCTGACTGAAAGGACAGCGGTTTGAATCTAGGGAGTGGGGTGAGCTCCCGCTATTAGGCCCAGCTTCTGCCAACCTAGCGGTTCAAAAGCATGCAAATGTGAGTAGATCAATAGGTTCTGCTCCAGCAGGAAGATAACAGCACTCCATGCAATCATGCCGGCCACATGACCTTGGAGGTGTCTACTGACGATGACGGCTCTTTGGCTTAGAAATGGAGATGAGCACCCCTCCCCCCGAGTCAGACACAACTAGACTTAATGTCAAGGGGAAACCTTTACCTTTACTTTATTATTACTTTAAATAATATAATAATTAACTCTTGTCATTGGAAAACGTTGTAATGCTTAGCTGGTTTCAACTTTATCTTGTGTCCTGTCATTTGTGACACAATAACTATGTGTGACAAAATGCAGTACTTTTCTTCAAACTGGTTGAAGCATAAAGTGGCACACACAAATACATCACACAATTATAAAGGTCGGTAATTCTTAAAAGCAGAATGCTGATTTTATTATACAGTGAAATTGCTGTTGCTGTTGTCACGTCCGACTTATGCTGTACATTAAAGATTCTTCAATCCAATCCATGGCATTATTTCTTTTGGGTGACACAAGACTATAACAGATTGTCCAAGAGTTTATTGATTTATAGTTGGTTTAGCAGAACCTACTTGTCTGAGAGAAAGTTAACAGCACTTCCACTGTTTTGTAGTTTTGTTTAAAAAGTTGAAATGACCAAGCTGTTAACATAAACAAAAAATAAGCACACAAAATATTTTGCATTGAAACATAAAATTGAATTAAAATCCAGAAATAATTCTAATCACGTTGATCCCAAGTAATTTCAAAGCATTCACTGCCAGCAATGGATACCACTGCTGGAACTGCCTGGCATATAATTTGCAAAAGATCAAGGTTTCTGGAAGTGTGGCACTAATTAACTTCATAAAGAGACTGAAATTCTAACCCCCCATCACACAAAAACACAAACTAATCTATTTGAAAAACTATACATCTTCTTGGTTCAGCAGAAATTCTTTATGACTATTTTGGCAAACAAAAGGCAGAAGCCAACCGTGTTCAAAAGTGCCTCTTATATTCCTCTAGGGCAGTGGTTCTCAACCTGTGGGTCCCAGGTGTTTTAGCCTACAACTCCCAGAAATCCCAACCAGTTTACCAGCTGTTAGGATTTCTGGGAGTTGAAGGCCAAAACATCTGGGAACCCACAGGTTGAGAACCATTGCTCTAGGGTTACATCTGATGACATTCTCAGATCTGGAATTTGGAGATCTCTAGCAGGGAATTCTAAGTGATTCAACAAATAACAAATCCCATGATTTCACAGAATTGAGCCATAGCTGTGAAAGTGGTATCAAAGTGCTATGACTGTAACATTGAAATCCCTCCACACAAGTAACATGGCATTTTGATGAAAAGACATATTTGGCGTTCTCTTTTCACACCATCTTTCTAGCTTTTGGTTTATCGGACTTTTTCTTAAAAGAACAATATTTCTAGCCAGAAGTTTGTGTGACACAGAGTGAGAAGAATGGGTTTTCTGGGTGAGATGAGAAGGCTGATAAAGAATGTGCTTCATACATCTGAGGTAGACAACATTCACAGAGCAATAGCCTGGACCTTCTTCACCTTGAGAAGGGGCTACTTTCATACAGTATCATCCTCAGTCCTTAAAAGGAAACATTTTAGTAGTGTACAGGCAGTTTCTGAGTTACAAACATCCAACTTACATATGACTCCTAGTTACAAATGGGTGAAACAACAGGAAGTGAGAGAAATCTACCTTAGGAAATTCACTCCTGAAAGAGTTATCATGGGAAAAAGGTGTCCACACTGAAGGTTTATCATCAATTCTTGTTTCCACAACAACTCACAATTTTCAAAATCTGATTGTCACAGGGACAGAAAATGAGGTGAAATCTTCTGAACAGGGCACAGACAGCAAAGCAAACACCACAGGGGTGTTAACCCTTCCCTATGCGATCCAAAACTAAAAAATGTACCTGTTCTGACTTACGTATAAATTCAGCTTAAGAACAAACCTACAGAACCTATCATGTTTGTAACCTGGGGACTGCCTGTACTAAATGATATTCAAAAGAAATGCCATAATAAGACTCTGGTTCACTCCTCTTCGGCTCATTATGAAGGATAGCATAATTCTAATTTTGGGTGCAGTTCCAATAAAGGAGCTTGCCATTAATGGGCCGGAGAAGGGAGAGAAGAATGAGATTTTGAAACAAAATCAAAATATGTTGAAATCCCAGAATTTGTTCACTGAGCCAGCAATTATTATACTGTAGTCAGCTTATGTTTATATATGTTTCCCCTAGAACAGCAATCACATAACTTCTAGGGTCATTAAGAGATTCAATTAAAAATGAATTTCTTCCAAGATACCAAATATTGTCAATGGGGGACAGCCAATAAAGGATGGGGATGGGGTATTGTGATCCTCAGAATTTGGGATTCTTCTGTTTGTTTACAGCATTCATGAGCAGCTGCACATACGATGTTAACAAGTCATCCATTTTGTATCCCTTGGGGGAGAAAATAAAAAAAAACAGATGAACAATTTCACTGTGGCAAAGACCTGAATGTGTTCACTAATATGTAATAGGAGGAGGAACTTGAAGCAGAATTTGGAACAATACTTTTTTAAGGCTTCCAGAAACTTCTTCATAAAACTGGATTATCAGTTTTGTGTTGCTACCTTTATTGTTAATGTTGATTTACAACAAACCATAACTGGAATACTGTTGATTTATCAAAACTAGCGTCAGACCTATTCAATCAATTACTGAATGATAAGTCCACACATAGCTAAATCCATTTTGTACTCCAGTTGGGACTAGCAATAGCATTTACACCCATATCTCCTAAATATTGTAGTCTACATATTTTTTGTTACATTAATCCATCTATATCAGCCATTCCTATCTGCTCCACAATTCCAACCCTTAACTCAGTGGTTCTCATCCTATGGGTCACCAGGTGGTTCGGCCTACAACTCTCAGAAATCCCGGCCAGTTTACCAGCTATTAGGATTTCTGGGAGTTGAAGGCCAAAACATTTGGGGACTCAGAGGTTGAGAATCACTGCCTTAACTCTTTATAAGAAGAATAAGGAACACATGGTGAAAATTGACCTACACAGGGGAACTATTATCCAAGTTTGAGAATAGATACACTGGTGGTTACTGGTGAATGCTTTCCTCCACTTTCTCGAGAAGATTAAACTTAATAGGTTGTATGACTTATCCTTATAGCATAAAAGATATAGCCTTCTTAAATCTTCTAAAAATGTAATCGAGACATTCACAACCCCCCTCATGACTGCACCCATGGACCCAACCACAAGGAAGAAATAATATCTAACTTAGTAAATTTCTAGATGCAGCTACTGCTTCTTGGTGGTGCACTTTTAAAGTGCTATATTCAAGTGCTGCTGAAAAACAGCTGTATTTAAAGTCATATTTGGTCAAAAGCTGTCATTACACAATCATCCACTCAATGGAATCTTTGTCATTATGTGGCTTTTATAAATGTCTAAACTAACTCTTGAAAAAAATATGCTCAGAAAGCAAGAATGTTTTAACCAGTAATTTCTAGATTCTTCTTTCTTATTTTCAGTATGTGGTTTTAAAGTATGAAATCATAAATGTTTCTTACCAGAGATGTCTCGCAAAGGATGCGACTCCCTCGTACCAGGTTCCCTATAGTCATGTGGAAGTAGGTGCTGCCACTGCTCCAGTTGGATATTTTAGTGAAGGGGTAAACCATTAAGATTTCCTGCGGGACAACATAAACGTTCCATGTAAAGTGTACAACAGCAACAGTTTATTTATTTATTTTCTTCACTTGTATATCACTTTTCTCACTTGTATATCACTAGACGTTGCCTTAAGGGGCATTTCTAAAATGAAAATCAATGGGTCAAGGAGTTGGTCTCTTACCTTAGTCTTGGGATGTATGACAGAAACTCCTTGTTTGTTGATAGCAATCAACACAATGTCAGGGAAATTTGGCTCTGAGGTTTGCTAGTAAAGAATAACAAAAGGATGAGAATCTATGGGAAATTAGCTCTTTCTGATAACTAAAATAGACACTTTTTGTCATTTTCCTCCTATTAGCAATAAGCAACGTAAGAACTATGGGCAAGCATACAGATGCGGAGTTGTCTGTTCTGCTCCGCAGTCACACAAGGTGTAGGATTCTTTTAGGTTGTGCCATTTTGCCAGGCTGTCTTTTGATCTGCCCACTCCACTTCTGAATCTGTTCAGGGACTTCCGGGTTGCCCATTCTTGGTTTGCCACTGGAGGAAGACCCTCGTGGGGGGCCATCCAGTTGGGGCTTCCCGGTTTAGCTGCCCAGAGGGATAACCTTGCTGTTGCTGGGGAGACGTCAAGAGGAGTGGTAGTTTTCATAAAGCTTTTCCTTGATTTGAGTCTTCTTTACATGACAGTGGCAGATTAGTTCTTCTCATTCAGGCCTGGGGAGCTTTTAGTTTTCAGATGTTTTGGCTTAGAACTCCCAGAACTCCTTACCACTAGACATGCTAGCTGGAAAACTCTCATAAACCAAAACATCTGAAAAGCCACCTGGAGAACCAAAACTTCTCGAGTCTGTTGTAATTTTTATTGTCCTTGTAATGACATAGAAAAATAAAGGACACAGACAGTTCTATCTGTCCCTG